CCATCCATCCATCCATCCACCCACCCACCCATCCATTCACCCATCCACCCACCCATCTATCCACCTACTACCCATCCATCCATCCATCATCCATCATTCCATCAATCTACTGATCCATAGATCCATCCATCCATCCACCCATCGATCCACCTCCCTGACTATTATTTTGCTAATACATAAGTAGCATAAAACAGGACAAAGAAAGACTAAAGTTCTCTTGGTTTTCATGTGAATTTAGGGACAACCACAAGAAATTAGTTCTACTCACAGTAACGTCACATTGCTGGAAATCCTTGGCACAGATGTGAAGTCAGTGTTTGCACACTCCAGCTCAGTTCCTTTGCAGTCACAGCGTTGTGGGTATTGGTTTAGAACTAAGGGGCACAACAGCAGATTTCATTAGGAAAAACATGTATCTCTTTACGTATAACTTTATACTTCACACACTCTGGTGGTATCAAGGTAACCGCCATTGTTCTTTGTTCACTGGATGTATAACATTTACATCTGTGAAATGGATTTATTCAGGCTCACAATTAAAGCAAACACGCGCTCTTTCCTACTGAACTACAGGCTTACATGGGGTTCGTCTCATGCTGGCTTCCAGTGGTAATTTCCGAGGCAGTGAAGAGGGGATTCAAAGGAAGACACAGAAACGTTAACTATCACCCAAGCACATGATGAAGCAAGACTCAGGTCCCCTGGCAGGAAAGCATCTGATGAGTGCGTCTGTCTTAAAGACTGTGGGTGACTTGTTTCCAATGAAGTTCAATCTGAATGCGCAAAGTAGTTGTTTAATAAATGCTCTTTGGATGTACAAAGTAGTTGTTCAATAAATGCTCTTTGGTTAAAATGAAACTCAATTGTCCTTCCCTTTTCAGATTCTTCTTAGAGCTGAGAGAAGGGTTAGAGGGAGGGTGTGCTGTAGCCACTACCGCGACATACTGAATTCAGTCGAGTCAGATATTTCGAGAGCGAAGCTGGGTTTTCTTCACGGGCTAGTTGCTTTTTCACCACTAGGAAGTGGAAAAAGGGATGGTGACCTTTGTAGAGAAGCTGGAAAGTGGACAGAACCAAAGATCTGCCAAAGTGAAGCAAACAAAAGAAGGAGGGAGGCTTCAGAATTTGCTTCGAAGGAATTCACGTAATTACTTGCAGAGATAAACCAGTCGCTGGTGAGCTGACTTCAACCCCCGGTGACTTCATGCGGGTCGGAGCAGAAGCATGGTCTACGCGGCTTCGGAGGTCTGCTTTCTTGGAAGCAGATCACCAGGCCTTTCTTTGCCTGGACGCGGACCTCCAACCCTTCAGCTAGTAGCCCAGCATGTTAACCCACCCAGGTTCCTAGTTATTAGGATAATGGCATATAAAGGAGTGAGAAATTATGGAGACACCAGGCCAGTTTGGTTCATGGGGCCATCACTGTACGTGTATGTGAGTGTACGAGAGAGAGAGAGAGAGAGAGAGAGAGAGAGAGAGAGATAACGAGAAAGAGAGAAGAGTGTAACAGAATATTGACAGAGCTTTTGATTTTGGCCTCTGACCCTGTGGATACTCATCTTGGAGCTAACAAAGTGGGCGTTATTTTCCAATTTATATTTTATCATTATTTATTGAAATCTGATCACAAGTTCTTTCCAACTGCCCTGCTCCTTTTAGATGACTTTTATCCAGACTTAATTTTTTTAATGCATTGTTTTAATCCATTGGATTTTAGTAAACTTGAGAAGCATTGATGGGGTACCTACTTAACGCAAAAGATGCTCCCTACTATATAAGGTTTTGGAAAATATTCTGCACTGCCCATAGGTTCATGCTAATTAGCTCCTCTTGTAAAAGATAAAAAGATAACTTCAGTATGTCGACGTCAATGTTTATGGGTGCTGAGAAAAGTGGTGATGTTGTTAGATTAAAAACAGTGCTTGGAAACATGTACCGTATTTTTACACAAATAACGTGCATATTATAAATTTTTCGCCAACTGTGCCCTCTCCCGTGAAGTATTTTCATAAGCACGCTATTAGTTTCTTTACAGCAACATGTTAAAAAAAATAGAGAGTTTATGAAAATATCTTCGTGGGGTCAACAGGCATGCTTGACAAAAACTGTATAACACACGCGTTATTTGAGTAAAAATGTGGTATTTGCTGTTGCCTTAAACAGCCGTGTTGGAATAACTGTGAGCCCCGCTCACCTGCGAGCCAATCGCTCCTCAAGCTCTGGATTCTTCTGAAGGGCCTCTAGCTCCTCTCCCCCTGCCTGTTCCCAGCATTCCTTGCTTGGCTGACCCTCCGTCCTTGTCGGGAGCATCTGACAGTTCCCGGTGCCTCTTTCACGCTTACTGGTCCTCTAATGCAGGATCTCTCAGCTCAGAATGACTGACATTGGGGGCTGGGTAGTTTTTCACTATAAGGAGCTGCCCTGGGCACTGTGAGGTGTTTGGCTGCATCCCTGGCCTCTAACCACTAGATGCTAGTTGTCCTCGGATATGACAAAAAACAAACAAACAAACAAACAAACAAACAAAACATGTCCCCCCTCAAAAAAAACCCCACAAACTAAACTCACTGCTGTCAAGCCAGATCCAACTCCTAGTGACCCCTCCTTGGGTTTCTGAGGTGGTATCACTACAGAAGAAGATTGCCCAGTTTTCCTTCCGAGGAGCGGCTGGTGGGTTTGAACTGCCAGCCTTCCGGTTAGCAGTCAAAAGTCTTAAGCACTATGCCACCAGAGCTCCCCAGACACTGTCAACTGTCCTCGGGGGTTGGTGTTGAGAACCACTGCTCTAGTCCGTTCTCTATACTTCTGACTGGAGGTCGTTTTCACCCGAATGTCGGATCATCTCCTTCCTCCTGACAGTGGATGAAAAGCTGCCCATCGTGTACAGGACTGACCTCCATAAAGTGATGGGACCAGACGATGGGGGGAAATGTTAGAACTTTTATTTCTATTTATTTTCAATTTTGTCCTTTTAATTTCTACACGTAATAAGCTTGTGTATAATCAAGTGTATAATGTACCGGTAACTGACCTTACAGTGTACAGCACTCTGTTAGTAGAGGCATGTAATACATCTGTATGCCACACAATACACTGACACACATATACAATGTATATATACTATGTGTCTGTGTATGCAACTACACGATGCATTAACATACATGCACATATATTAGTAACACATAAAAACCCATTGCTGTCAATTCCAACTCACAGCGCCCCTGTAGGACAGAGTGAAACTGCCCCAGAGGGTTTCCTAGGCTGTCAGTCTTCACAGAAGCAAAGCCCAAACCACACCCACTGCCGTGGAGTCCATTCTGACCCACAGCGCCCCTA